ATCTGTTTGGACATAATTTTTTAAAATGTATTTCTCTTTTTTTTTTTTTGAAAAAATATGAAATGTGACTTATACCCATAAATTTTAAAAACGATCAAAAATACCCAACAACTCTGAAGAAAATTCATACAAAACAAGCGAAAGAAATCTGAAGAAAATTTATACAAATTTTAGCAAATTACCTTCAATTTTTATCTTTGCGGTAGATTACCACAGATTGGCACAACAACTTTGGTGAAGGTTTTCTTCTGTTTATAGAGAAGGGAAAATCCGCTTGAGTTTAATGAGGAAAAAGTGGATAGATCTGGATTAGTTGGATCGTAATAACAGAAAGGGACATTTTTATAAAATGGAAAAGTTTGCGGCAATTTTTAAATTTTTTTAAAAATCAAACGATAATATTTTGAGTCATTAACAGCTCTTTTGCTAGTTTTGGAATTTAAAAAATTATCAAAATATAGATAAAATCTATAAATAATAGATATTTGCCAAAAAAAAAAAAGTTTTGACAAAATTGATGATCTAACGGGGCCAAAAATCACATGGGCTCATCCCAACTACCCGGAATACAATTTCCGGCTTACCTTGCAATTGGCTCTTCAAAATTTCAGGGTCGATTTCTAAGAAGAAAAAGATTGTTTGTGAGAATACTGTTTTTCGAAAGTAAAGAATCTTTCTATTTTGTCAAGTAGTACTCTTTTTATCTAATTTATGTAACATTTTTGTATTTTGAAATACCCGAAAATTGAGGCCTGATTTTGAAATTTATGGTTCCAACACTATTAAATTACTACTTTTTTCGTTCCAATTTATGTTAATCTATTTAATTGAGCATGAAATTTAAAAAAAATAAAGGTTTTTGGAATTTGTGATCCTAAACAAGTCAGAAAGAGGTCCAGAGTACTTGTGTGGTTAAAAAAAATTCTCATTAAGGATATAATTGGAAGTTTAAGCTAAATTGTTTCCAAATTTAAAAAAGAGTCATTCTTTTTTGAATGGACCAAAAAAAAAATAGGTTCACATAAACTGGAACGGATGAAGTATATGATATTGATTGGATCAATGAACTGGATTACGAGCTAAATATTCTTATACATTTAGTATATCTTTTAATATAAATATAGGATCGGGGGCAACAATTAATGAGTTAATGCGAACCCACAAGGGCGGATTTATTTGCCTAATTATGGGACACGTGAACACATGGTCTCATCGTCAAACTATGTATTTTATGTACATAGTTTCTAGAATTAGTATAATATTATATGTTGGCCTCCATGCTCCCAAAAGATTGAAGGGTGCACTTGATTGAATATTTACGTTGAGTAACAAGGATCGATTTCCACTTGAATCTTTTCTATTTTTTTTAGTGGTGTACTCATGTTCAAGAAATCCTAAATTTGTCTCTACGAACCATACCTAATAATGTGAGTCCGGAACCAAAATGTGGTTGTTTTGGACTCAAATGACGGAAATGTGTAGAAAAAAAAGTTAGTGACCAAAATATATATATAACGCCTTTTTAAAGGGCGCTATACCTTAACGGGCGTTTGCCTAGTTAAGGTATAGCGCCCTTTAAAAGGGCGTTATACTGGGTTTCCGATAGGGGTGGGCATAAAATCCGAAAAATCGAATTCCGAACCGAACCAAATTAATTTGGTATTTTGGTTCCGGTTTTTTCGATTTTTCGGTCTAATTCGGTAATGAATTTTCGGTATTTCGGTATTTCGGTTTTCGGTTTTATAATTCTACAATTTTGGTAAACCGAAATACCGAAAATATTCAAGCAACTAAGCCCAATTATAGACCATGCCTCATCGCCCATCCCCAGCGTCCCACTCCCACCCAGGCCCAGCTCCCTCAACTCCCAACCCAAGCCCAATTAATTACCCAAGTCAAGTCAGATTCAGTTAATAGTTAATACCCAACCCAAGACCCAAGTCTTGAATTAAATTAGGCATTCTCATCAAAGTAGGGCATTAGCCATTAGGGCTTGCTTAATGCTTACTGCTTTAGACTTCACTCTTCATTGCTTAGGACTGTAGGAGATATCATCGAGAAGAAGAAGATGAGAATCGAGTCATCGACTGCGAGTCTAGGATATCACTTATCATCAGTCTGCGAGTCTAGACGAGAATCGACCGCTTACTTGCTTAGGATATCAGTCTACGTTTTGTAAGTCTCATCTCATCTTCACCGGTCTACGACTGCTTAAGTTTTGAGTTTCCGCATGGGCCTATAAAAGTATAAATTATAATGGTCCGATTTTCTGCATCAAACGAAGTACTATTCCTGTGTAGGAAAATATCATAGGCGGCGATTTCCAGCTCGATTCGATTCCTCACTCCTCACAAATTCCGGGCAAACGAAGTGTCGAAGACGCTGCTTCCTGTTCCAGTGTTCCGAGCTCGATTCAATTTCAATTTCAAAGGTATGTTTCGCTTTCTTTTGGTTGTACTGCTGATTGAATGAACTGCTGTTCCGAGCTTTTCCCTTTAGTAGGAAAATATCATATGTATCACGTTCATGCTGTTTAATTCATTTGCTTGTATAATAACAGTTGTGAGTACACGACTATGTGTTAGGCTTACCATATGATTACTTTGCTAATTTGCTTAAGTCTGATTTTTAGAACTTTACCATATGAGCAGAGCAACAAACAATAGCAGACTGCTCTCTTTGAAAACCTTCAAATAAGTATCTTCTATTATGTTGTCTTCTAGAATTTCAAGAAAAGATTTAGTCACTCTCTTATTCTTTAACCCAGGATCATTTGTTGAACAATAGTCATTGAAACCTTTTATGTAGATTTTGGTTTCAAAATAACTGTTACTGGGAATTTATGTTTATATTTGTTTAATTTTGTAGGGTAGCAAGGTAGTTAATTTGTTGATTGTTACTGATAGCTAGGTAGTTAATTTGTTGATTGTTCATTTATATTTATATTTGTTTAATTTTGTATAGATGGAAGATACAAGTAAAGTAAGTGATGTTGGTTCTAGTGAAAGTTTACCTATTACGGTAGATAGTAACACCAACACCATTGATACTCAAGATTCCAAGAAAAGGAAAGCAATGCAACCTAGGTCTGACGTTTGGAACCATTTTGATAAATTTGAGGTTAATGGGGTTGGGAAAGCACGGTGTCGATATTGTAAACAAGCTTATGCTGCTAATTCATCTAAGAATGGAACAACAGGATTGAAGAATCATTTGCTTAGATGCAAAGAATACCCACTTAAAATTGCAGAAGATAATAGTCAAACAAAGATAAATTTTCAATCTTGCCAAAATGATGAAGGATCAATTTGGAAATTTGATCAAAAAGTGGTTAGGAGGGCCTTAATTGAGATGATAGTTACTGATGAACTACCATTTAGCTTTGTAGAAAATGAAGGCTTTATGAAGTTTATGAGAAAAACTCAACCACTATTTCGTCTTCCTTCTCGTAGAACAATAACAAGGAATTGTTATGAAGTTTACGGTGAATTGAGGCAAAATCTAAGAAGTTCTTTTAGAGAAGCACAACCAAAAATTTGCCTAACAACAGACACTTGGACTTCATTACAAAGAATAAATTATATGTGTTTGACAGCCCACTTCATTGATAGGGATTGGAAGTTGCATAAAAGAATACTTAATTTTTGCCCTATCACTAGTCATAAGGGTGAAGAGATGGCTAAAGCTATTAGGGATTGTTTGCTTGAATGGAAATTAGACAAGGTTTTCACTATTACTGTGGACAATGCTTCTTCAAATGATGTAACTGTCAAAGAATTGTCTAAACAGTTAGATATGTGGAAAACTAATATGATGAGTGGTAAACATCTTCATGTGAGATGCATGGCTCATATACTAAATCTAATTGTGCAAGATGGTTTGAAAGAACTTGATGCTTCTGTGACACGTGTTAGAAATATTGTGAGGTATGTGAGATCTTCGCCTGCAGGGACCTTAAAGTTTAAATAGTGTTGTGCATATGTAAAGGTAGAATGTACCAAAACGTTGTGTTTGGATGTTCCTACCAGGTGGAATTCCACCTATTTGATGTTGGATACAGCACAACAATTTGAAAAAGCCTTTGACAAGTTGCATCTTTTTGATGATGGATTTTCTGCATATCAATGTTCTCATCTTTGTGAAGATGGTGGTAATGCAGGTCCTCTTGAATCTGATGATTGGGTGAATGTGAGGAATGTGATAGAGTTTCTTGCAAGATTTCACGAGCTAACTAAAAAAGTTTCAGGTTCACGTTATGTCACTTGTAATTCTCATTTTGAGGATGTATCTGAACTTTATTGTCATTTGAAAATGTGTTTAGCTAGTGAGGATGAGCATTTGAGAAAAATGGCTCAGCAAATGCAAGAAAAGTTCAAGAAGTATTGGGGTGAGCCTGAAAAGATGAATAAAATGATTTTTATTGCTTCCGTCTTGGATCCACGTAACAAATTTGAATATGTTGAGGGAGCACTTGAAGAACTTTTTGGGGAGGAAAAAAGGAAGAAAATAAATGCTGAGGTGTATGCTTATATGAATTATTTGTTTGGAGAGTATCTAAAAAGGTATTCAACCGAATCTTGTCCTCAATCTCCATCTAGTTCTACTTAATCTAACAACACATCTAATACACCTAGTGGGAGTTTTATAAGTGCATTAAAACTAAGGACTAAGCTTAGCTTGAATAACCAAAAGGAAGACAATGGAAATGGGGGTGCTAAATCGGAGTTGAATAAATACATTAGTGAAGAACAAGATCCTTATAGTGAAGAATTTGATATCTTGAGTTGGTGGAAAACACATGCTCCCAGATTTTCTATTCTTTCGGAGTTGGCTCGTGATGTGTTGGCAATTCCAATTTCTAGTGTGGCGTCGGAATGCGCGTTTAGCACTGGTGGCCGTATTCTTGATTCATTTAGGAGTTCATTGACTCCTAAATGTGTGCAAGCTCTTATTTGTCTTCAAGATTGGCTTAGAGAAGAGAAGAATCCTATTAATGTTAAAGAAGACTTGAAGTATCTTGAGAAAATCGAGCTTGGTAAGCTTTAATATTTTGTGTGTATTTTAATTCAAAATAATATATCATGCTTTTTCTTTTGTATGACATATTTGGTCGTATTATCTTTAGATATGGAAAATAATGGAAGCACTACTAGCATTGTTTGATGTATAGTTGCAACTTGCATCTTGAGTGGTAAGTTTAATACTCTATTTGTTTGGTGATAATGATATACTTAATATTTTGTAGTTTTGTTTTATTATCATCAAACTATAATATTCTAACTTATGATTTATATTTTTTTTAGGTTCAAGTGCAATCATGCCCCGTGCTACTGCTCAACGCCCCGTGCTACTGCTCAAGAGTCAAGACTGTTTGTTGATGAATGCCCTCTCTGTTTTTGTTGCACTATGTTTAACTGTTTAAGTGTTAAGATTGTGCAGACTTGCAGTTGGCCAGTTGCAGTGTTGCATTGTGTTTAAGTGTTAATACTTAAAAGTTAAGACTATTTTTGTTGGACTGTGTTTACTTGTTTAACTGTGTTTAAGTTGTTGGACTTGTTGGACTGTGTTAAGTGTTTAACTGTGTTTAAGTTGTTTAATATAGTTGTGTAATGTGCATTGTGCAGTTGGCCAGCTTTTGCCAACTATAGTATACGCCAGATTCATTGCAAGTTTGTATATGACATACAGTTAAGTAGTTAACAGTATTGACGATATGAAATTGTGAGTATACTGGCGTGCAACGGTGCAAGTTTGTATAATGTGTATTGAGTATTGACTATATGAATATGACATATGTGCACGTTTACGTTGTGGTTGTGCAGTTGTTTTAGAGTGAAAATTATAGTGTCAAATTAGAGTGAAAATTACAGTGTTGGTGTTTCAGCCATGTGCACGTTCTTGTTAACTTATTATAGTGTTATATATCGAAAAACATTCTTTTAGAGTGAATTTCAATTGTGCATGTCTAGTTGTCCACTGTTAGCACTTAGCACTTAGCATTGATTGTTTATTGACTGTTAAACTGAAACCATACCGAACCAAAATAAGAAATACCGAACCGTACCGAAATAATTTGGTACGGTATTTGGTATACACAATCGATAAACCGAATACCGAAATACCGAACCGAAATTCTAAAAACCGAACCGAAATACCGAACGCCCACCCCTATTTTTCGATACTACACCTCATTTAAGATCTTGTATGAAAGTAATATACGATAAAAGTAAGCTCGAGCTAGTAAGGACGAGTAAGTTAGAGAGAAGAGAGAGATATATTATTGATCTTGTGGAAAAATAGATGGAGCAACATCAGCCATTTACAAAGTGGCATGGATTCCCTTTATATAGGAGAGGGAATATGATATAATATAGAGTGCATTAAATGTAAAGATATGGGGATGGGACGGCTAGGCACGATGCTAGACCCTGCTGATGCTTGCCTCGAGAATTCCCTATCCTCGGAACCTTTGTTGGGTCGCAGACGAACCTCGGGGGAGGGAGCTCGATCGTAATCCTGCAACCTCGAGATACTGATATGACCCTCCGAATGCATCTTTGTGGCGGAAATAGACTCCTCTGATTTCACCATATACAGATAGTCTCCGCGTTTCCTAGAATGAAGTAATAGGAAACGATTTTGAACCGTCGTCTTGAGGTCATCATTGCCGTGACATCAACCGTTTAAGAGCATTAAATGCCATGTTTCAGAGAACTGTGCAAGGCCGCCGTCAGATACGGTAATCGAGAAACCCATGAACTGTCATTGGCTCGTCCCTTCTGCTTCCGCAGCGGTTCCTATAAATGTATCGATTGCTTGACACTTTCCACTTTCACCCTACTTCCAAGCTCACGAGTCAGAATTTTTATATTTGACACCCCTTTATCTTTTCATAGAAGGATTTTTACCATTGACATGGCTAGGACCTCTAGGACGGTTCCCCAATGGAACGGCTCTGCATCATCATCCTGATCGCTTAAGGAAGAAACCAGAGCGGTTCCCTCCTTGGAACAATGTACCCCACCTGATCTCGATGTGTCAGAGGATTTTAATAGTGATGCCACTTCATCTACATCGGGCCGATACGAGCATGTGTCCTGATACGTTAGCATCATGACCGATATTAGCAAGGTGAAGAAGGACTGCCGATGGAACGAGGCAGTGGAGGTGGAGATTCCCGGTCCCGACGATAATATAACTGACTTTAAGGCTGGCTTCCTTCACGTGTACATCTACCCATTCACCCTAGGACCTAATAAATTTGTCGAGTCCCCTACCCTGGAGATAGACCCGGTTATCCTTGATTTCTGCGACCGATACCAAGGACGCTTGGTCAGAACTACCCTTCTTTTTGGAGGATAGTGTTGATGCTTCGTTATTTCACCGAAAGGGTTGAGGGTGAGATCTTTACGCTCAATCATCTGGTCAGTATGTACAGCTCTCGATTGTATTGAGGCTTAATCAGGATCCGCCATCGGTCCAAAAAATCTTTTTTCATTAGCGTCGACGAGGGAAAGGATCGAGGATGGATGAGCAGGTTTATCCGAGTAAGGACCTCGGATATCATCTCGGGACAGAGGATGCCTTTTCCGGTGAGGTGGAATACCTGACATAAGAAATTTTCCCCTTAGCCGCTTTTTCAACTATTCTTCCTTTTGAAATAATAATCTCTTTGTGCTCCCTGCAGCCACTGCTTGGCGCCCAGAGGTGGTCCCATATTTGTCGGAATGGATCGCGAGGTTGAACGAGAAGTTCCCATATCGCGTTCGGTCTTGGACCGACCTGGCTATGAAGAGTTGGGTGGCTAAGAATCATGGTGAGGTTCCTTTACCGCCTATCCTTCGTATTTTGTGTTTCTTTCTGAGCCCTTAGCGAAAGCGTATTGCGGTTACTATGCTGGTGTAGGTCTTGGCGAGCATATGATGATGATGCCACCCCCTGGTGGCGAAGCAGGGGCCTTGGAGCCTGACACGAGAAAGAAGAGAAAAAGCAGGGCAGTTGTTGTCCGTCCTACGGCAAAGAAAACCAGGTCACTCGAGCACCAAGCCGCTGCCGGGACTGCTGCTTCAACCTTAAAGTTGAATCCTGAAACCGAAGGAGAGGATGATGATGGAAGCCCGCTAAGGAGGAGAATGAGGTCGAGTGCGAGAGACTTGCAGGCACCTCGATCGGAGGCTGCTGAGTCCGAAACGGCTGTCTCCGGACGGGCTCGTGGGTCGGGGGTCCTTGAAGAGGATGTTGATGTAGCTTCGAATCACGCAACCGGATTTGATGCAGCTTCCGCCAGGAGGACTGCTGGCATTGATCCTGAAGGGTCGAGGCTTGGAGCCTTCCAGGAACATGGGTTGCCACTTGGAGAAATTGGCGACCTAAACGACTTTATGTCGAGCTTTCCGGTCTCGTCAGGGGAACTACTGGATGCCCACGGGATGATCGGCGCCACAGAGGGGACTCCTCTCAAAGGGGGAGACTTTATTGCTACCATCTTTGATGGTGTTATTGATAAAGCTGATCTCGATATTACTAGAGCCGTCAAAGCGGCGGAGAAGTTCATGCAGCAGGTGATAGCCATTTCTCGTGCATTTATTTTCGTCCTCGAGCATCATTCTTTGTCTTTTTAACTTTTCCGCTATGCCGTAGTGTAAGTGGATGTACGATCATGACATCCTCTTGCTCCGCGGAGAGCTTTCTTATCAGGAGAAGGAGTGTAAGAAGGTTACTTCGAAGCTTCATGATTTGGAGGCTCGCTCTGCCTGGGGAGATAAAGAGCTGGGAGAACTTCGGGCCGCTTTGGGAACGGTGCTCCGAGAGAAGGCTGATCTTGCTGCTCAAGTACTTTTACTTGCTCATGCCCGACTTTTATCCTGTATTCACATACGTTCCGTATTCATATATTCATTTTTTTACCCTTCTCATGTAGGTCGAGCAGAGTGGCTCGCAGATTAATCAATTGAATGCAGAGATCTCCGAGTTGAGAGAGCAAAATGAAATAGCGGCTGGGGAGTTGGCGACATCCCAGGATATTCTTAGAGGCTCTCGCAGGGAGATTGCTGCTTTAGCCGTGGCTAATTCTGAGGTCGAGCAAAATGTTGTTACTTATCAGGAGGACGTTGCCACGGCGCGTAGGGTAGCTCGTGACATATCCGTAGCAACTGAGTAGAAACTGACCCGGGCTATTGAGCATGTTAAGGCGGAGTCGAGGAGAGAGACCCTGGAGGAACTCGGGGCCAGAGGTATCGACCTGTCAGCTGACCTTAAGAAGGCCCGTACAGTGGAGGAAAAACTGGCGCTTTTGATTTCCCCTGATAAGGGCAAAGATGATAGTGACGAGGAGTAGTCTCCGAGTCATTTTTGTATACCTTACCCTTCCCTATGTATGTGGCCCTCCGGGGAATGGATAGTGTAAAGATGTTTTTCTTTTTGATAATGTAGAAAAGAAGATTTCATTCTGTCAGCCCTTCGCCTTGCCCCTTTGCTTTTGCCTATCGGTGCCGGACCTTCAGGGCCTGCTCTCGGATCAACCGGGACCCTGAAACTGGCCATACCCCGAGGTTAAATTGATAGCTCCTCTCGAACCGATGTTTGTGACGTCGGGGGTCTCCCCGAGGTCCCGCAGTTTTCTGAGTCACCTGGGAGCTGGAGTGACTCCGCCTGTACGTTCCCCTAGGAGAGGGTGACATTAACGCGGCCAGAATTAATTGGCCTTATTGTGTAAGCGGGCAGTTGTTACTTTGCCCCTATATATTTTTTCATCTGTCTCTTAAGGGGAAAATTTGTTGTTCTTCATAAGGCTTTCTCTTCTACAGAGCCTGGCGCTTTATGCTAGACCTTCTGTTTCCTTGTTTCAAAAAATGTTTTTGCTCGGATCCTCGCTTTTCCCCCCTAATCTTCCGTAGCGACGTCTGATCATCGGGTGGAGGGGAGTCTCTCCTGCGTTCCACATTCGGTGGTGCCAGCAGCTTGCCTCCGATATCGCGAGAGCCAGGCTCGGGGTGCTCCGCCTCGGGGAGGGTTGTCACGCTGGGGAAGCCTCCCAATATTTCGGGCCATCGAGAGCATGCGTCAAGGATCATTTCATCAGTGAGGGAGGATAACCTCGAGGTGATTAGAAAAGATTGTAGAGGGGGGAAGGCGCAATTTTGCAAGTACCTTCCCCCGAGGAGAGTTCCATGACATATGTTGAGGGATTTTTGAGCGTATACACTCTTATTTTCGCGCTGGGTTCCCCGTACCGGGTCATGCTTGATTTCTGTCGAAGATATCAAGTAACATTGGCATAGGTTCATCCCTCTCTTTGGAGAATAGTACAGGCGACGAGATATTTTGCCGACAAGGCTGGGATAGAATTTACCCTCAGCCACCTCATGAGGTTGTATCGACCAT